CTAGTTAATACTTTATTGCAAACATGGGGCACTTAACGGTGTCATGCACACTGCTTAGCGGGATTAAAACCCACACTGAAGGAGGAGGAATTAGTTTTTGGAGTTGTTACAGGAAATAAGGTGCATAATAATACCCTATTTTATTTTCACTGCTCTTGTAGTACAGTTATTTTGTAACTGTTCACTGATTGAGAGCTGGTGTCTAGAGTCATGCAAATACACCATTTCATACTGATAGGTTAAGAACATTGTCTCCCATTCACTTATAAAATGGCAGAAGTTGCTTTTCAAAATGAGAACACAGAACGCTTTGCTGGGAGAGCGAGCATACATAGTAGCAGCTAGTTTCCACGGAACGTATAGGCGGGCTGGGTAGGCAGCCTGATGGAGCATAGGTCTGGGGCTATGCAACTGATAATCACAAAACTTTGTTGTTGACACGCCCGCCTGCCTTGACAAACTAATACTGGCACTTGTAACTGGGAACAGCAGTGTGGTGTGCTCTGTTCTGGCTAGCCGAGGAGGTTTGCTTCCTGTAGCTTGGGGTTAGAAGGCATAAGGTTGAAGAATGCGGAAGTACAAATATCATCCTAGAATGACTCTGTTGCTCTGAAGATATGGACAGGCATTGCTGGGGGTTGTTTGTTTTTGATTTCTGGAAGAATCAGAGGGCAAGTGGAAGTTCTCGTCTTTCTGTCCCTGTAACAGTTCCTTATGTGTTTTGTAAATATATTGGGGGGAGAGGCAATTGTTCTCACTGTAAAAGAGTTCACACACTCCAAGGCAAAATCTTATTTCGTCTTTAAGCTTTATCTATGACTGTTCAGATCTTTTAATACAAAGCTTTCCTTTTGCATTTGCCCTTCCATGTAGTTTAAAAATAGAGGTGGCAGCTTCAAGAGAATTTTGTTCCAGACAAAATTTCTTTCATAATAAGACAAGAATTGCTCTATTAAGGGGTATTTTTCTTCCCTAACTGAATGGGGATATAGAATTATTGCTCATGGGAAAGTAAAATTGCATTTCTTTGTTTTAAAGGAAGTAAATGATGAAATAAGGCATACCTTAGCTGGCTCAGTATTATTGGAGGTGAATGTTTACTTTTGTGATGCCCTAACTTTGGAGGGACAATATATGAGGCAGAAAACTGCCATTAAGAATATGGTCACATGTGCTACATGTTTAAATGTAACAAATGTGACTTTGAGTTATGTCATTCTCATCTGAACTTCAGTGACATCAAAATGAGAGGTAGTGTTCAGGTTACTGTTTGCCGCTGCATAAAGATGATAAGCCATTCTCAGGCAAAGAGTTCCCCTGATGGCTTGGTAGGGCTTATCATTTGTTTCACCAAAAAATTAGTGTTGTGATCACTGTCTTTCACTCTTACTGTTGCTTCTTTAATTTGAAGCTGTAAAGGAATCTCTATTCTGAACTTGGGGTTGGAACTTGCTAAGGGAGCTTAGGTTGATAATTTCAGCCTCTTTTAGGCATTGTCTCCATAATCCTGATGGACGGTTTGGATTGGTGGTGGAGCTTCCTAGCAAAGAAACAGTGAATGCACTTTGAAGCTTCTCTTTGAAATTCTGCTGGTAAATCACTTCATCCTTACTAATGGCCCTGGCAGTTTCACTTGCCTTCTGTTCTCCTGTTACAGATAGCATTAAGCTGCATACTTTCTTCCTTCTGCAACCTCAAGACTGATTTTGGGCACAATTTTACTTGACATATGGATTGCTAACCAAATTTGGTTTTTAATGATAGGGGGAAGCAGAAATGAAATATTGACTTGGAAATAAAAGAGCAAGCTCTGGGCAGGACATGTAGGTCCTTAGAACAGAAGTGTTAGGTGAGGTGCGCAGTAACAGCTTTAAAATTTGAATCACACACACTATTTAGCTATTTCAGTCAAATCTGATAGGAAGTGATTCTTCTTCTCAAAAGTGAATAGGCACAAATTTTTAGAAATATTTATTTAGAAGCTAGAGTAATTTAATACTGCACATCAAATAATCCTAGGAGCTTGAACACTTTAAGCCATGGTGTAACTGTAACGGGGACCAGTTTTTCTGACAGTTTCATGCTTGGAAAGTTAGGTGTCATGCTGAACATTCAGAATTGTTCTTCTGGAAAACACAAGCCTAATAAAGATATTAGCAGCTTTTTTCATGACTGTCTCTTGGCTTTTGGAAATTTTCCATCTAACCTATGCCATAGAGCAGCACAGAATGTTAATTTATAGCAGGCACGTGTGTAGAGGGCATGAGGAGGTCTTGACCAAAAGACTGTATCATTCTCTCTTAAGAAACCACCATATGCAATCAGGAGAGATGGAGTAGAGAAACAAGTAAGGACAGAATATAACAAAGGGCCACCTGGTTAGGACAGAGTCAATACCTAGCAAAGGGTGAGTAGCAGAAGAATGAGACTAGAAAGGAACAATGAAAAGTGCTAAAAGCTATTTATAAGGAGGGAAGAGAAGGGTAGGGGAAGTGAAAGAGAATTAATCATTCAAAATCGTGTCTGAAGGAGGATAAAGTATTGGAAGTTGAGCATCTGAAACTGAGATAAGTAAGGCCCCTTTCCTTTTCCTTGTGTTTGCAGTGCTGACATTGTAGGGTTCTTGGTATTACTGAATACGTACTACGTCTATGATGTACAAACTGATTATATGAAGAAGAAGATAAAAGGAGGAAAATTGAAAGGCTAAAGAGGAGGAAGAATTAAAAATAACAGACCGAAGGACTGAATTCAGTTATGAAGAAGAACTTTTGGTCAGTGTGTGCTAAACAAGTGTTCCGCTTCAGAATGAAATTTCAGTTTTATTTTCATGAATCTCAATATGTCATTGAAGAAGTCTATTGTAGCGTTTTAAGTACACGTCCTGTTATTTGAAATAATTTACAGAAATACGTAAAGATAGTTAATACACTTGACATGGCTGTGCTGCATTCCTGAACATTCTGGAAAATCCTATCATATGGAGATTTTTCCATGTATTTCCACCCAACCTCCACTCTTGTTCAGGAGCTGTGGGATACGGTTTTCTACGTTAAGCCACTTCTCGTGACATTGAAGATTAATGTGCCCGTCTCTTCATTCCTCCATTTCCCCTGGTGTTCATTCCAGATAGCTGTTTGTCATAGGAGAGGTAAATTCTTAGCTGTAGTTCTCACAGTGGAAACGTTACTGGTTCAGTAGCTGATGCCAGCCTCATGTACTTTATCTATTGTAAAGTTAAGACAGTCATCAGAATCATTGAAGGAGGATGATAAATACAGTTTGAAGATAGAGAGGGTTTGGTGCTACCTGTTCTGTGTATTAATTTATACTTTGTGTTAAACTAGCAGAGGCAGGTTTCAGGTTTCACTGCTCTTTTCCCCATTTTATCTATGTCCTAAAGTTACTTTAGCATGACTATCCTATAAATCCCAAATTTTAAAGAATTACCTCAGTCTGGCTTATCTGTGGTTTATTTAATTTTTTTATTTCTCTCTACACTACCAGCATGCAAGTTTAACTAAAGTTCTTCCTGAGTTCCTGTAATTGTTTTTTTAGTGTGTTTCTCTTGACTGTTCAGTGGTGTAAATCAGCATAGCCGCAATAGTTGCACTAAGCTAATCAGACTGTTTTCATATCAATTTGCTTACAATTTAGGACTGATTTCAACAGTCTTTGCTCAGGCAAAGCTCATACTTCTCTGTGAACTTCTGTAGTAACAACAGCTAAAAGAGTTGGTTCATCTGGCATGTTCTTTCTTTCATAATTTAAGTGTGTTTAAGTTTTAGACGGTTAATAATATCTATAGTTTGAGGATGACATCTGCATAAACTTAGTAAGTGAATTATTCCCTGCGCCATTTCCCTGCAATCATGTTAATTCTAGTAGCTCTTGTAAAAATTGCCATATAAAATAAAAGCACTTCTATAATGGTCAATAACAGATGCCTAGAGAAGAATATAAGAAGGTAAGCAGCGTTGTATCATGTAGAGTCACGTATCATATAGTAATACTGCAAAGAGTAAGGTGCTATTTGACATAAGAAAACATTTAAAAGTATGACCTAGTTAGGGGGGAAAAAAACCCTTTTCCCAATATAATTACTTTCTCCAATTGAAGAAAAAAAGCAGTATGGAGTAGTCTGAATTCTAGTAGTTCTGCCTCTGCTGGCCACTTGGAAACACTCTGTGAGCTCTAATATAAATAGTGATATATGACTATGGCATAACAAAATACATAATAGAATTACTATTGCATTTCTGTATCCTGATACTGCCCGGTTCTTTTGATCTGCTCTTTACAAATGCTTTTGCATTAATGCAACTGTATTTCCCCATCTAGTTAAACAGAAATTAGTGAAGCAACCTACTTGAGCAGTTTATTTGGGACTCTATCTTCTAGATCAATGTCTTATGGAGTAAAAAGAAATAAACAAACCTTGTTTGATTTTATGACTTGACCAGGGCATTTGCTATGGGATTAAACTGTTTTTCAAAGATATTCAGCAAGTTGGTGGTAGTATCATTTTTTGTTTAGACTGACTTCTTGGCCTATTCACGGCAGGAGAGAAAGGGGATAGCAACACTACTGCTATATGGAAAGATGATCGGAGTCATTCCCATGGATATTCCTGTGGAAACCTGACAACTCTCTGGAACTGAAGCTCTCTAGCCCTTCACACCCTCTGGCAATGTCCCCTAACTGCAGTAGCCCCACTGACTGAATTATATGGAAATCATGATGGAACTTAAGCAGTCAAATGCATGACAGAGCTACAGTGTCCAAGACACTGGAGGAGAGGAATCAGGTTGGGTCCTGTTATTTGTGCAACTTCCTGGAGCTTTTGTCCCTTCAACATCAGAGGGGATTTAAAAATTTCTTCACAGTCAGTAACTGCTGCTTGAGGGAAAACAATTCCTTAAAAAAAAAAAAAAAGAAGAAAAAAAAAAGATGACGCAAGCAGCTAGTCTGTCATTTTTCTCTCCCTCTTTTATATGTAGAATGAAGACGGTAATCCGCAGGAAGGCTTGGTGAATAATACAGGTGTTCCTGTGGATCCTGAAAATGAGGCTTACGAAATGCCTCCAGAGGTAAATCTGTTGTGGTTTTCTGTGAATGAACAGGCACACGAGAGTGAAAGCGTGCTTGAGTGATATTAACGCACTGCCCGCAAGAGGTCACGTCACGGGTGGGAGACGGGACGGTGATTTTGTGCCTCTCTGCTTCAGGGCACGGTTGGGCACAGGCGGGACGGGTGTTGTAAGCTGCAAGGAAATGGCAGAAATGTGGTCTCTATGACCAAGCTCTCCTCAGGGTATAATGCTGGGAAATGAAAAATCTGTTGTGATACTTTCTTTTTATAATAAGGATATTTAACAGGAGAATATTGTGTGCGTTTTGGAAACACTTGTGCCTCAATTTCTGAATAATCCACAGTAAATTTGCACCCCTTTCTTTCATCTGGTAGGGAATATAGCGAAAAGCTAGATCTGTATAGATTCTTTTAACAGCTGGCCATTTAATATACTTCTTGGCATCACGTTTTGTAAAGCATGATAATTCATGATTATACCCTTGGGTTAATGCAGTTATGGGAGTAGATTATTTGGTGGTTTTTCATGAATCAATACTGATCCTTCTATGTCAAATATTGCTACAATGTCTGGGACTACAGCGCATGAATAATTGAAGTGGCAGGTTTACAGAAGTACAGACAATTAGGCTGAAAATAAGAGGCATAAAAGACTAGGCCATAATCCAGTAAAAAACTTAAATGCATGCTTGACTACTAACACCTTGAATATCACTGAAATTAATGGGGCTGCTCGTGTGCATACAGTTAAACACATTTAAATGATTTATTGACTTGTATGTATATCTGGAGCACCTGGTATACAGTTCAGCTCTGAATGAATTGCTGTGGATGGCATCACTGAGTTCTTGCTAATATCAATGGGACCAGAAGAGGTCTGTGTGTAACTATCTGTATCACTGTAGAACTTGATCCAACTCATTCAATGTGGCTGAAATTCATTTGCCTGAATTGCTGAATTCAGTACGGAAATACTGTTTCCCTGCCTCTGGTGACTGAAAAAACATTGGAGGTATGAAGAGTTTCGCAATGGACCCTTGTAAGACAGTTTTCAGTCCTGATTCTTCAAGGACGTGTTCATGTAATTGATTGTAAACAGACCTAATGTCCTGGTTATATGTACTCAAATATTCACGGTCCTTATAGTTGAAGCACATGTCTAAGTGTTTTACTGGATTCAGGATTATGCGTAACTTGCTTGCTTGCTTCCACTGAAGTGAATAGGATTTTCAAAAAAACGCTAAAGGACTGCTCGTGTGCATTTCTCGTACAGCAAGGTGATTTTCCCCCCTTCCCTGGACCATTATTCCTGCCACAAATTCATTGCTGTGAGTCATTTGGGTAACTGACACAGAAAGTGAATGGCATGTTAACCACCGTAAAAGCCAAATTCTTCTGTAAATATCATAGCTTCAAAGATGCAATATCTGGAAAATGTGAGAAAATAATAAATGGCAAGCTTCTGATCACATGAAAACTGGTGGCATTTTATCATTGAATCCACTAGGACTAAAATAAGAACTAAAAATAGGTTGTATTTATCTACAGTCTTATTAGCACTGATTTTTGCTCTCCTTATTAGGAAGAGTATCAAGATTATGAACCTGAAGCGTGAGAATCCTTTCCTCCTTTATATCTCCTGAAATCCACTAACAAAGACGTCCCATCCTGTACAAGTGCTGAGTTCCAATGTGCCCAGTCGTAAAATTTTTTTACAGTTTTTACAGTGTATTTTGAAGTCTTCCATCAGCAACGATTGGAGTATCTGTGACTGCATGCGTGGCTTCAAGTTTAAAAGTTAAGAAGATATTAAATAAAAACACCTAAGTGTCTACTGCTTATTTCTAACTCTGTACATGTTTTGTTGATATGTTGTCAGTAATTTGGTATTGTTTATGATACAAGATTTTTTTGTTTCCTATGACTGTGCAGAAATGACTTATTGTGAGAGCTTTATATATGTGTATGTATTATATATATATATAAAAATATGTAAGTAATTGAGCATGAACTATGCACCTATAAATATTAACTGTTGAAATGTATTGTTTTGTGGTGTGTTTTATTAACTTGTGTCTGTAAATAATGGTGTTCAACTGAAGCAAATAAAAAGTAACCCATTAAAAATAAAGCTATAAATTAGTGTTGATTTATAACACCTTATTTCCTTTCCAAGAGCTCAGGTTAAATAATTCAGGCTATGTTGCTTCCTGTGAAGGAACCAGAGCAACAAAACAAACAAACAGAAGCCCAGTTCATACCAAAAGCAGCATGAAGGATTAGAATACCAGTGCTAGTTCCTCAGCTTGAGTAAACTGTTGACAAAATAGATGTATTTGTAGAGCTAATAAACTTTCAGTTGTAAAGACAACCTAAGAATGAATGAAGCCATTATAATGGATGCAGCAGATTATCACGAAATTACGAGGCTCTTTGAAGAATTATTGTTTCAAGAGGGTTAAAATACTGGGATATGGGGGTACCACAAGAGTGATGGATTAGTTGCAATGAATATCTGGCATAAAATCTCATTCATTTAAAAAAGATAAGTCTACTGTCTGTTTTTAGAGACAGTAATTTTAGTTATTATGCTGCCTGGATGTTTCACATAAGGAAAAATTTTTATTTTTCCTCATATTTTATTATCTGCTATTCATTTTGGATCAAATGTTGCCTCTAACCTGAACAATGCAGTGTTTTTTTCATTTACCATTTTCTAGTTCTAGGTAGGATTTTGAACTTCCCTCAGAGCTTCCAGTGTTCCAGAGCATGGATCTTAAAACAGGTTAATACCATTGTCTTCATTTTACAGATAAGGAAACTTAGACTCAAGCAAATAACATGTTATGCCCCTAGTCTCGCTGCATGTCACTGGTGTATGCAACAACAGATCCAAGTTTTCTGAGGCTGAAGTCTCCAGCCATACTGAGCTCCTTTCTGGCTTTCTGCAACCTTTCTGGTATTAGCATGTCCCGAATGGAACAGATCTTTCCAGTATGCAGTTATCCCAACTGTGTGTGGTGAGAGCTCATGCAATAGTACTATGATCCATAATCACATGAACGTATTGGTTTCATAGGGCTAATGCAAACTGGCATTTCAGTTTCCCATATGCTTGTCATCCTCTAGTCTATTTTAGCAGCCCCATATTTCCAAGGAAATACATTTATTTTAGAAGAATTGTTGTCAAGCTCTTTTTAAAAACAATGAATCATCTTGTTCATTTCAAACAACTCATGAATATTTTCATCAAATTGCTTAATGAAGCTCAGATTGCTATGCTTTTCTGCAGAGTTCTTCTGTGATAATCTGCAACAGCCCATTATTGATTCCTCTCCTTCTCCTTCATAGGCCATATGTCAAAAACATCTCTTGAACTGGACATCTATTAATACTGAAATTCATCTTGATGTCTCAGCAGAAAGTCTATTGATTACTTCCATGGCAAATTGATATCAGGACAGTGAATACTGTAAGATTCCAGTTTTATAATTATTAATGTTGTATAAGTGTCTTTTTTCCTTTAGTAAAAGGAATGGGGAAGAAAAGCGCAGTAGTATGATTTCCCAGCATGCTAGCAGAGACTCTGGGCCTCCAAAGGCAATAACTGTGAGTTATCTGACTAATGAGAGCAGTCAGTTGCCAGCTATGTCAAGAAACTTTGGAAATAGCAGATATAAATATAATATATATACACACTTCTATCTTCTCTTCCCAGGTTCACAGGTCTGGACTGCTTTATTGTTTCTATATTAAGGAATCAAGCTATTTTGTTACTCACGTACTGCAAAGTACATGTCACAAGTCATGCACTTCTTGAATAAGCTGTGGAGAACAGTATGTTATATGTATATGTGTACATTTTATATATATATAAAATGACTCCTGAGACAGGCCTTTTGTCTAAGCTTGTCATAGTTGATTATTTTCTAAGTTAAAATCAGCAAATCAATCATAGCTTTCAGGTCATTTAAAATATACCATAGGTGATAGGTTTAAGTCTCACGCCTCTTACAAACATGCCCTCGAATGGCCCTGAAGGTCTGTGGGACCCATGGTTACTGTGGCAGCAGTGTGATGCAGCCCTCTGTAACAAGCTGCATTTTAACTAGAGTGCTTAAGGGCAGTCCAACCATTCTTTTCAGGTAAACTAAATGCCATTTTGTCTTATTTCCTGCAGTGAGATGAACGCTGAAACGTGAACTGCAGATGTCAGAACTGTTAGATGCTAAAGCTGAACTAAATAGAAATTATTTTATTCAGATGTAAAAAGTGTCTGCCTTGGGTATTAAAAATTCTGTTCTGGTAATGTTTGCTGAAGCAATGCCTACCAGAAAGGAATACACCTTAGAGCTCTATTTTCCTTAAGAGTCCAGATTTCAACTCAAACTGAAAAGAAAATCAACTCTTGCTTTTTTCTGTTTTGACAATTTTAATTGGCCCTATAACAGTTCCTAAGTAGACATACTGTAATAATGTTTTTATTACTGTAAATCATAGTGTTAATACTTGTTACACGTCTTTAGTATAATGACTTTGAAGTAATTGTATGTGTCAAAGGGATATAGCAAGAAATATCCTCCTCCCGCCACTGAGGACTTCCCTTCATTCCCTCAAGATGTTAATAGGCAGTTGAGGTAAATTGTGTTGTCCTAAAACTCGAGGAAAAAAGTACATACCTATCCTCAAGGAGCACCTATTTTACTCTTTAGGTGATGTGCCTTCCTTTCTAGTTGAAGTTCCTTGTCCATTAAAACATCTCCGCTTTTTTTTTTTTTTCTTGATGCTACTGCAGAAGTCATTCCTGATGTGGTCTCTGCAAACCACCAAAGCCTCCTAATTAGGGAGAAAACTCTTTAGGCCTGCTTCATTTTGATTTTCATTGCTTGGGTACTCTAGGCCCAGTTATTCTCATATGAAAGCATCCGAGGTGGACGGCGGCTCAATGAGCTACATGAATTTCAGCATGGAGACTGCTGTCTTCAAGAACTGGGAGACTGGAAAATTCAGAACAGGGCATTTAATGGCTGAAACTCTTCCAAGAGTACAATAGCAGACAGCTACAGAACAGCTACCTACAGGTATTTATAAAATATTAATATACTACACAACTGTTTAATTGCCTCTAGGCTTGAGCCAAAGCTCATTGAAACCAACGTAAAGATTCCTACCAACCTCACAGGGATGTTAATTCCCATAGCTCCAATATACATTTGCTCTTGTAAAAATTACATGTTGCAGTTTGTACTGGTGTGATGAGTTTCCAGTTCTTTTCTCTGCAGATGTTGGGGAGAGAATAACTGTTGAAATCTTTGTTTTCTGGGGTTTTCTAAAGCACTGGCTCTGCGACACCTTTTGTCAGGTAGGTGATGTACAGTGGAGGTGATATTTCAGGGCTCTCACCCCTAACTCGGTGAAAACAAAGGGAATCTCTTTTATTGACCTCCAGGGGTATGGATGATTCCTGGTACTTGTCTTTAGTCTACAGAGAAATTAGAGTTGGCAGAGATGAGAACATCAAGGGCCCTATGCAGAATATGTAAGAGTGGTAAGAGTAGCAGTTAAACAGCCAAGTCCTCATCCAGGTTTCTCAGCAGTGCTGCAGTCTCATACACTGGCAGAATACTGTACTGTAGATGCTGCGTTATAAAGTGCTCTACCCTGGATGTTGGGCTTGAACAGAGTAGCTTTCCTTAGGTATTACAACCTTGGAAGTTGTAACGACAGTCTCTCCTGCTAATAGTTACTTCATGACGTATTTATGCAAACTAAACGTTTGTCTTCCACACTAAGATAGCTTGGAAGATAAGTGGGAGGGGATAGATGGTTCTCTGATTATGGTAGTGGATTTGGGTTTGATTCCACTTCACACAAGGCTCCTAGTGAAGTGACTTTGACTAATCTGATATTCTTCAGCCGCCAGTTTGTGGCTTTCACTGTTACTGGAAACGATGCTAGTAATGGTCTTCACAAGGTATCATTCTGCTTGGATATGCACAGGTCTGAACCAATAGCATCTGTTTTCACATAACTAGTCTCACTCTTGAATTACTGCAACAAAAAAACAAATGAAATCTTAACCTTTAGTATCTCCATGCTGCATTTGAATGGAAGATATCATCTGTTTAAAAGCAGACGTAAACAACCTTTCTCAAGCCTGCCTGACATTTAGTGTGTAACTCAGGAGGTTTCTCTGATATAAAAAAGCCTAGCAGATGGAGAAACAGCAGGTGGGACCTCAGATGAGACAGCCAGAAGGTCGCAAACAAGACAGGAAACTAGGTCAGAAGAGATTTCAATGCTGGAAGAAAAGCTTTGGAAACGTTTCTTCCAGTGGAGACTTAAAGTGGGTTTTGGGCTTTTTCAATTAATATTTGAATCTATACAGGTCATAGTTGAGAATTGTCTGATACATTTGTATGGTATATTTCTGTGGAAAAGGTGGAAGTCTGAGATTTATGACTGTGCTTATTTGAGCTGTGACACAGAAGATCTGTTTGTGAGAGGCTAGAGCACCCACGTGTTTCTGATTAATTTACAAGATTTAACAAGGAGAATGTTATGAGCCGGGAACGGCTGGGATGTATGGATCCTTGCACTTTATCTTGACTTCTTTTCTGTTCCTCTCTGCTCACCGTTCTTTCCCATTTGTTTCTAAATTTTCAGAGAGGGTGATGTTTTACCCTGTTCCCACTGCCAAGTGCCAGGTTTATTGGGAAATCTTATTCCCAATGTTGTCTCTAATACATGTAAGCGTTCCTTAGAGAGCCAGGGTTTAA